GCCGCCCCCACCGCGGCTCCCCCGGCCTCGGCTGCAAACCTGGGCAGGTCAGCCGCCCGCCCCCACCCCGCACCCGCTTTCGACACAGCCCAGAACACTGAGCAGAGTGGGACCGAGAGGTGCCGGGCTCCTCCGTCTACCCACGCACAGTGGCTCTCGAGTGGGAGACGCTGCTTTGTCTGGATTTAATTTTTAAAAGCTGAACGCCGTGACTGAAGTTTGTCATCGGTCTGTTGTTGCACAGACCCAGATTCGTTCCTGCGACGTGATTCTAAGGGTTCAGGACCGACGGGGTCATTTGTGGGGGCCGCCAACCTCTGCACCTCCCTTTGCACTTTTGCACAAATGTGCGCACGCCTCCTCGCTCCTTCCCGCCCCTCCCGAACGCGGCCGGGCGCGGAATCGCGGGTCACCCTCACCGCGGCGGGCGGCTCGCAAAACCTGCAAGAGCAGGACTTCGCGCGAGCCCGCAAAGAAAATAAAGGCACAAAATTAATGATAATTGAGTAGATCTGAACTTCTGTTCGGGCAAAGAAACACATTTATTTAAATGATGTGTCCCCTGTGTGCTATTTTCGGGGGCACTGCTCCTTTAGCAGCGTAAGTGCCTCGTGAAACTGGTGTTATGTGAAACCTGGGTCAGACCCAGGCATGTGTGTGTACTGCACCCCGAACTTCCTCTCGTCGTTTATTGCCGTGTGTGACTATGTTCGTCGCATCTCAACCTATTTGTCAAACACGCCGAATACCCGTGTCAGTGATTTAGATGTTGGCAAGTTAAGCGAAACAACAGGAGCAAAGTGTGCCGGGCACCAGCCGAAGAGCGTGCGGTCAGAAGTTTGCGTCCCTCCCGCGGCTTCCCACTGGAGCGCGCCGCTGCTAGAGAAAAGTTCTTGTTTAACCATAAATACAACCATTTCTCAATCTAAAAATCAAAGGAGAATCTAGGTAAAGAACTACTTCGGACTTCTAATCTTAAATATTGAGGTTATCATTTAGTTCTAAGACTAAAAATAGATGCCCAACGTTCCGCTTGTTAAGTAAGATTATGTAACTTTATTGCTCTCTGTAAAACTAGGTATTTTGGGAACAATAGTAAGTTACTAAACTATCGAGTGAAACCGAATTAAGTTTAGGCAAACAAATGATGGGACAGTTTTTCTCAACTTAATCCGAGCGTAAGAGAAATTGTTTTGCAGAAGTTTCTTGTGTACTGGGGTTTTATTTACAAAAATAAAAGAATTTTTATCAGGCTTAAAGGTTACTGTTTTAAAAGTCTACTTGCTTGCAAGGAAGGTCATTTGGATTGTTAATATATCCTGACCAATTAATGGGAAAAGTCATCTAGACCACAGCAAAAGTGAGGTATAATGAGCATAGTAAGATGATAAAACTCAAAGACATGTTCACTGCTAATAACTTTCCCAGAACCACACCTCTTAAAATTACTTTTCTTAAAATTAGAGGAATTTCATTACATCACAACTACATAAAGTCGTACAGCAGCAAAAGCAACCTTAGCTAATCTCCCTAGGGTAGGGTTTCTCTCATTGCCCAGCTGTTCTTTGATAGCATTAATATTTTAAGGAGTGATTTGCTGGCACTTACCTCACATTAATTATACTCTGCACGCCACAGTGGGATTCTTTGCCTTAGGACACCAGCTATAATTAATTTCTTCATTCAAAGCCTCAGTCTATTTGACTTATTTAGAGGGCAGTTCACCTAAATTTAGCTGGGTGATATTTATTAATGAAAATAACTAAGCCTCAATTATTTGACACTCCATAGATCTGACATGTGTGAACATTGAAACATCCATATATCATGCTGTCATATCTAGTTCCTGATCCAAAGTGCATTTAAAACCATCACAAATAATCAGCTCAGGGGGTTGACATGGGAAGAAATATATGTTGAGTTTCTAGTCCTAGAAGATCTCTTCAAACTCTACATCGACAATTCTTTACTTCAGAAATCAAGCTCTAAGAGTATTCTTTGCCAACAGTAAGAGAATATGCACCTTTCTATGATTTATAAACATCTAAAATTTCTGTTATTGTGTTACTATTGTAATAGTAAAGGAAGTTTAAAATTCTGCAGAGACCCCTCCCCCAGTGACCCTAGGGAGAGGAATGGGATAGAATATAAAGCTGTAATATCTGGGGTGTTTTGTAGAGGTTTTAGCAATGTTTTATTTTTCTTTAAGGAACACAAATCCATATTTCGGTGAGGAAAGCAATCATAAAAGATCATTTGTCCAGTTTAACTGTCCTGTAGCCCTGCCGCCAGGAAATTCTGTAGGAAATGAGTTAAATGATATGATGACTGGGATTTGCTTTAATAAGCACCAGCGACAGGGGAAGGGAGAGAAAAAGAAAGAAAAGAAAAAAGGAGGAAAGCAGGAAAAAGAAAAAGGGGCACAGTGGAAATGAGGAGATGGGGTTATTGAAACTGATTCACAACTGACAACATGTGGGTCACTCTTACTGGGTGATGGGAATTTGAATAAAGGAAATGCAATTCTATTTTATATATAAATAAAAGTAATAATTTTTGGAGGTGCTGGGGATTGAACCAGGTCCTCACCTGTGCTAAACAGGAGACCTACCACTGAGCGACACCCGCAGGCCCACAAGTCCGTGGGAACCTGTGCTATAGCCATGTAAAACAGACACTGAATCATAGTTTTAAAACTTATTCTGTTCATTTTTCTCTGTTTTATCTTCTTTGGAGCATAGTGAGTGATTTGAGTAAAGGAAATACAGAGAAGTAGAGAAAAATAGGACTTCGTGGATGCATCAGAAAGGGCTGGGAACCAAGTAACTATGAAAAGATGGGGAGAAAAGAAGGGCCAAAGGAATGCCTCAAAACAGGGAGGGACCGTCCGCTTTGACCTTGGAAGTCCCCTTCAGCTCATTTGGGCCAAAAACAAAATAAAAAAGTTTTTCAACCCTTCTTCTCATTCTTCCCTGGAATGATTTGTTATCACTGATCTTCCTTTAATTACTTTGCCTGTGACTTAGTGGACCTCTCCTCCTTGGGTTACTCACTATAAATTCCTTATCCCAGCCTGGTGTTGATCACAGTTACCTGAAAAGTACTTTTCCCTTAAATTTGCTTTGGGCACATTTACCCCTAGAGAACAATGAACTGCCCGGAAGTATAGAAGTATGCTCCAAGGCCTGGGGAGTCTAGTCCCAACTCAGGTCCCTCCTCCTGGCCTACGCTTTGACCCGCCTCAGTCTCTTCATTTATAGGGAGGAGAGGTTCGGTGGATGTGCTAGTGCACACCTGTAACACTAGCATTCTGGGAGGTTGAGGCAGGATAGATCTCCAGTTTGAGCCCAGCCTGGACAATTGAGAGAATTTAAAAGGAGGTATGGCTCAGAGTGAGGGCCCTGGATTGAATTACAAAGAGAGAGAGAAAAGACAGAGAGAAACATAGCTCTTAGAGCAGTGTGTCCTGAATCACCTAGGGATCTTGTTAAAACAGATTTTGATGCATAAAATCTGTAGTGCACCCTGAGATTCTGCATTTCTAATGAGTTTACAGTTAATGAGGTGATGCCCAAGCTGCTGCATTGAAGAACATACTCTGCATCCCTCCGGCTTTGCTCTGCCCTTGTCCTCAGCCACAGAAGAGCAACTAAAACCAGAGGGAGATGCCCACCCCCAGCTCTTTGCCTTCCTTTCTGCACTACTCTCTGGGACTGTTGGGAATGCACTGCAGCTGAGTGACTTGGTTTCACAACCACACAGAACTGCACCAGAAGAGAATTTCCAGGGCGTGGGTCTTGTTTAGTCCCCTCCTGATGATTCAGTTGAACTGTCCAGTGTGTCAGCATTGTCAGAGACTGGCGGACACTGTCTCATCCCCCACAGAGACAGTGGTCACACTGTCTTATCCAAGAGCATAGGGCTGTGATGAAGATGTAACTGGCCAGCACAAGAGAAAGAATACTATGCTTTTGAATCAGGCAAGGATAAGTTTGAGGGTTTCTGTCCTGACCACATCACATTGAGCAAATTCATTTCAGCTTACTGAACCTCAGCTTCTCATTCTCCAAAATGAGGGCAGAGGGTAAAAATAATCTCTACCTTGAGAAACTATTGGAAGGACCCAAAATAAAACACATAGCCTGACGCAAAATTGGAGCTTCATAACCCGTATCACCTACCACCAGCTGATTTGAGTCTATAGTCTGTAGTAATAATGTGCAAGCTCCCTGTTAACCAAAATAGGCCTATTCCCTGATTAATTAGGACAGATTATTTACAGTTTCCCATCATTCATCCCCTGCTCCTAACCACTGGCAATTGAATGTTGATTATTCATTCATAGAGCTATTCTGAGACATGCCCATAGCTATGGGACAGGAGGATGAGGGTGGGTGCCAGATGATCAGAGCACAGAGACAGGTCCTGCTGCACAGACCTTGTTTCAGTTGGATTTCTCCAAGGTAAGTTCTCACGCACAGGTGGGCATTTAATAAGTATCTGATTAGTCTGTGATTTTGTATGATGTCAGTAGAGATGTAATTTATTGACCTGGGCTCCTGGCCTCCTTCCAGTGTATGTATAATAGAATGACATTTTTCATGGAGAAATATAAATTAAATTAATTGGCATCCATAGTTAATTGAAACTTCCTTGACTGTAGATGGATTCTCCCCCAATGGCACCCCTTTCTCAGCAAGGGACATTTTCTTCTGAGTGCTTGCAGAAAGGCCAGCTCCAATTCCTGCAGCTCCCCGAGGAGCTGG